AATGACCTTGACCCACTTTCAAGGTCACTGGGGTCAGATGTCTTAAAATCTTCAAACAACTTCTTCTCAATAACCAAAAGGCCCAGTGTACTGATATTGGGCCTGTAGCATGCTGGGATGAAGGGCTACCAAGTTTGTTCAAATGAATGACCTTGACCAACTTTCAAGGTCACAGGGGTCTAATGTCGTAAAATCTTCAAACGACTTCTCAATAACCAAATCAGCAATGCCTGTGCATGTTTTTGAATGTCTTAGTTACGTCGTTTTTAGCACCAGATTCAACTAAAATATGTGATTTACAAAGAGTGCAGAATGCAGCCTTTTTTTTCAAGACCGCCAGACTTTATCCACTATTACTCATTTTCCTATGACTTTTTGATATGTGCATAATTATCATTTCTTTTAGAATTTTGTGTAGTAGAACCTGCAAATCCTGATAACGACTTCTTCTTTCAAGAAGACATTACGTTACCTTCAAAATACGATCTATACTATGTAAATACAATTGTATAAACAACTCAATTAGAATCTATTCCTTAAAACACTTCACTAATTACTTGTCGTTAAGTTAAGTAACAATGGTCTTTATATAAACATTTGTAAAAACAGTTCTAGTATGTATATAAACAACTCATAACTTACCTGTCTTTCTTATGACAAAGAATGGAAAAGTCTAGACAATTTCGAGCGATTTCAGTAACTTCTAATATATACGAAAATATTCTGGGCAAAAACGGGTGAAATTGACGAAACCCCGGGTCAAAATCGTAACCCAGCGTGTGAAGTTATAAATGCGGGTGAAGGGCTAAAATTCTGGGTGTAACCCGACAAAATCGGGTCACTTGGCAGGTATATCAGGTATGCAGATACACGTGTAACAGATCTAGAGGTCATATTTTTTTCAATGACGCCACAATTTCAAAGGATGGAACAGGACCTCTCTTACTCTTCATCACCTGACACTTAATAATTACTGAACGAGCTAAACAGAAATTCTCCCCAAGTCATTAGGAAGCAGCTAGTATTATACCAAGGTGTCAAAAACTACATGTACCAATCCAACTGGTCTTTGCCAGTGACTAATCAAGTGTAGTTCAAATTCTGCTGAATTGGACATATACTCCTGCTTATTCAGCAACTTGAACATTTTACAAGAGGACACCACAGAATTCAGCAAAATTAACATCGATAAATGTGTTAAGCAAACTGGAATTTAAGTTTTTTATCAGTATATGTGTATGGAAAATGGACTGACAAACAATAATGCATCATTTGAATCTCATAGTGCAGTCAAGATCCAGCGAACTCATAATAGTAGATATGGTAATATAAGTACTGTTTTGATTGCAGGTGGTTGGAAAAGGAGCGTTTGGCGTGGTCAGTCGAGCAAAATGGCGTGGGAAAGAAGTGGCTGTGAAGCTGATAGAGACAGAGTCTGAGAGGATCGCATTTATTACGGAGCTGAAACAGTTGTCTCGGGTCAATCACCCCAACATTGTCAAACTATATGGTGCCTGTACAAAACAGCCTGCGGTAAATATTCTTCAGTAGGACGAAAGCCTAGCCCCAGGATCATAATAAAGATCCCTATTAAAAATTTGTTTTTGTTATGAAATCCAATTATAGATTATGTTAACAAGATTTGAACATATGTAATAGGAAAGAAGTATTGAAAAGAATATGTGTGTTTGTTAATATATGGAAGGGAAACTCCCTCTAGCCACGGTGGCCAAGTGGTTAAGGCTAGTGACATTCTGCTACCACTAGCCCTCCAACACTGGGATGCGGGTTCAAGACCTTTGTGGGGCAGTCGCCAGGTATTGGCCGTAGGTCGGTGGTTTTTCTCCAGGACCTCCTGCTTTCCTCCACCATCAAAACCTGGCATGTCCTTAAATGACCATATAGCTGAATAGGATGTAGAACACAAACAAACAAACTAGCCGAGGCTAATAAGGTAACTATGACACTGTTCAAATGCACATCCTTTATACTTACTCCTTCGTTTTCTTTGATACGAAAATATACTACAACCCAGGTTCTTTTACTCCCGGGCATTGGTTCGCCTTTACCTTGAACGGGGAGGGTCATCAGCACCCATTTGTAATAGTTACGAAGAAATGAAAGGAAGATGTTGTTTTGCCAGGACCTGAACCCACGATACCAGACTTTCTAGTTACCTTGAATGGGGAGGGTCATCAGCACCCATTTGTAATACAGTAGTAAGGAAAAAGTGAAAAAAGACTTTCCGTAAGTTCATACCCCACGCCGTGAGACTTTATCGGAGGTGAAAATCCGTGAGATTTTGTCTCACACCGTGAGATCTGGCATGTATGAGGAAGATGTGCATATGCTAGGACTTGAACCCACAATACCAAACTTTCTAGTTGGATGCTCTGCCACTGAGTAAGAGGGAAATTCCCTCCAGCTGAGGCTAGTAGCGGGACTTTGACAATGTTGAATATTACAGCTGTGCTTGGGTATAAAACTTTCTCATGATTCTTGGTCAGGAAATTGATTCATAAAAATATAAAAAAAAACTAACTTACAATTTCAATGTTTCAGTGTGCTTATATAAATTGCAATTTATATGGCCATAAAATCTTAATAAACAACTAGACTAGAATCAGAAAAAATGATTTTAGAATATTTTTATAAAAATGAAAAATGCAGTAGAAACCAACTATTATCATTATACAATACATGTTCCTTAAATCACTTGGTAAGTAACCCTATATCAGGGCTTTATTGTAAATGTTTAAACTTATTTCTTTTTTCCTTACAGGTATGTTTAGTAATGGAATATGCGGAAGGGGGATCCCTGTACAATGGTAAGTTGTTTTGATATATTGAATCCTAAGGACCCTAGCTTGATTACATCCCGAATTCTCACTCATATTGCATGCCCACTGTAGGTTGTGGCAATAACTTCTCGTATTTTTTAAAATTAAGAGTCTACCAGATATGCATGGATTAATGATTGAAAGCTGAATACCTTATCTAAGCTTTGCCTTGATGAAACAGTCGAAAACTTGTACATATAGATTAATGATTGGTATGGACACCCTACTATTTCCCGAATTTTTGTAAGAGCAACTCAAATAATTTTGCTCTAGATGAATTAAAGATTTATCATCAAATTGGTACCAGTAACCTTATATAATCTTAAGTGAAACAGATTCTTAATCTGTTAATAAACAGTAATTGTTTAATTTGTTGCCTAATGAAAGGAAGTGAGTTTTGATCCAATTTTACACTGCACAAGGCCTTGTTCAATTAATGCATGCAAGTAAGCAATAAATGATAATTCTGATTTGACTTTTGGATGTATAAGCCAATTGAAATGACTGTACTACGAATTCACTTTCAGTCCTTCATGGTACTGGTCCACAACCTGCCTATACAGCGGCCCACGCCATGAGCTGGGCGCTTCAATGTGCCAAAGGGGTGGAGTATCTCCACAACATGAAACCTAAAGCTCTCATCCACAGAGACATGAAACCTCCAAAGTAAGTATCAGGCACACTCACCAAGAGGGACTTTAAACCCCAGTGAAAGTATTCTTACGCTCCATTTGATTAGGACTAGAAATCTTAAATTAAAGTAAAAGTACCTTAAGGCTTTTAACTATAGACAGGAACCTCCAAAGTAAGTACCAGGCACATTCCCCAAGAGGGACTTTAAACCTCAGTGAAAGTATTCTTACGCCCCATTTGATTAGGACTAGGAATCTTAAATTAAAGTAAAAGTACCTTAAGGCTTTTAACTATACCCATGAAACATCCAAAGTAAGTATCAGGAACACTCACCAAGAGGGACCTTAAACCCCAGTGAAAGTATCCTTACGCTCCAATTGATTAGGACTAGAAATCGTAAAGTAAAAGTACCTTAAGGCTTTTACCTTTAGACATGAACCTCCAAAGTAAGTATCACGCACACTCACCAAGAGGGACATTAAACCCCCAGAGAAACTATCCTTACACTCCAATTGATTAGGACTAGAAATCCTAAATTAAAGTAAAAGTACCTTAAGGCTTTTCACTATAGACATGAACCCCCCCAGTAAGTATCAGGCACATTCACCAAGAGGGACTTTTAAACCCAGTGAAAGTATTCTTGCGCTCCATTTGATTAGGATTAGAAATCTTAAATTAAAGTAAAAGTACCTTAAGGCTTTTACCTTTAGACATGAACCTCCAAAGTAAGTACCAGGCACATTCCCCAAGAGGGACTTTAAATCCCAGTGAAAGTATTCTTCCGCTCCATTTGATTAGGACCAGAAATCTTAAATTAAATTAAAAGTACCTTAAGGCTTTTCACTATAGACATGAACCCCCCCAGTAAGTATCAGGCACACTCACCAAGGGGGACTTTAAACCCCCAGAGAACGTATCCTTACGCTCCAATTGATTAGGACTAGAAATCCTAAATTAAAGTAAAAGTACCTTAAGGCTTTTACCTTTAGACATGAACCTCACAAGTAAGTATCAGGCACCCTCACCAAGAGGGACTTCAAACCCCAGTGAAAGTATTATTACGCTCCATTTGATTCGGACTAGAAATCTTAAAGTAAAAGTCCCTTAAGGCTTTTAACTATAGACATGAACCTCCAAAGTAAGTATCCTAAGATTCCCATCCAGAGATATAAGTATAATAAGTATCATGTATGCACTAGTACCAATTGATAATTTGTCTATGATTAAATCCTTTGAGTTGATAGGTACTTCTGGTTTTACTCTTAGCCACAGACCAAGTTTGCACCAGTGAACCAGGGTTGAAGAGCAAAAGGATATTCAGCACTTGCAACTGTTTTAATGAATTAATTAAAAATATAAATTAGATTAACTTGAAAATATTTCATAGGTATTGTGGTATATATTCTTTTAACATACTTATTTTAGTGCACTCAAATTTTAGTGCATTATCAAAATGTAATAGATTAGTGCATTGATGAAATGGAGTACCCACAAAATATGCAATAGAAAACAATACACATGAATTCTTATTAGCACAATCATAAATTAGCAACATTTTTAAAACCCGAAAAGTGCTAAAACAAGACTACCACTAAAATATGTATGTTTACAGTGTATTAATATCACAAATATATAAATAGATTTGTCAGTTGACGAGTAAGAGTATAATGAAAGGCTTGGCAGGAAGGAAGTGTTTGAATTTACTCTATGATGTGAAAATCTGTGGGAAGTTATAACATGGAATATTCTCCTATGTTGCAGTCTATTGTTAATCATGGGTGGTACAGTACTAAAGATTTGTGACTTTGGCACAGCCTGTGATATACAGACACACATGACCAACAACAAGGGAAGTGCCGCTTGGATGGCTCCGGAGGTGTTTGAAGGTTAGCAATCTACATTTGATTCACAGCAGTTTGATTGATTGTGATCATTAGGGAAGTTTCAGGTAAATAGCAGTCACATATTCAGGAACAACAAACCATTAGCCAGTATAAAGATATTGATATTAAATTAGTGATATACGTCCTGAAAAAAACATGGTTACATGTAGCTGAGTAGGAATATAGATTATATTTATTAATTATGTATGTTACATTTTAGATTTAATATAATTAGCGAGGTACAGCGAGTTGTGCTAAAGTTCAAAGTGTGACTTGTAATATTAATTCTGTGTTTATATACGTTTTCTTCTGTCACCCTGGTAAAATACTAGCCGCTTCCTACCGACCTGGCTAGAGAGAATTTCTTTTTAACTCATTCGGTAAAGTATAAGACTAGTTAGCCAGAGGTCCCGGGTTCGACCCCTAACGGAGGCATTGAAAAAATAATGACCTCTGTTACATTGGCCCCCACGTAGAGGACCCGGAAGGTTTGACAGAGATACTCAGCGATACGTGCAAAGGAATCGCGATGACCCCAGGAAAACTCGAGACAAGATCTTTCCTGAAGGGGGAGTATGTCACCCTGGTAAAATACTAGCTGCTTCCTACTGACTCGGCTAGAGAGAATTTCTCTTTAGCTCATTCAGTAGAACGTAAGACTAGTAAGCCAGATGTCCCGGGTTTCGACTCCTAGCGGAGGCATTGAAAAGATAATGACCTCTGTTACACTACTAACACACAAAAAACAATTAACCTGTTTATTACACTTGATTTGCAAAATATTTACTAGTAGTAACACATTTGGTGCATCAGGGGCTGCACACTCCAACGATTAACCTATCATTTTATTCTATCATACAGGCAGTGACTACAGTATATATAAACTTTATTTATTTTACAAAAATTATGAAACAAGTTATGTCAACTTGAATTAATCACTCTTGTTGGCCCTGATGTTAGCCTGCAGGTGGTCTAAGTGTTGGAGGAAACCGAAGTGCCCGGAGAAAACCCACGTGGTCGGGCAGGTGACCCCATACCTTTTCACGTCTGATCGGGCAATCAAACCCCAGCTGCCTTGGTGAAAGGCAAGTGCGCTATCCACTGCACCACCCAACTACAGTGAAAAGTGTGACTTGTAATTCTGTGTTTATTTATCCTACAGGCAGTAACTACAGTGAAAAGTGTGACTTGTAATTCTGTGTTTATTTATCCTACAGGCAGTAACTACAGTGAAAAGTGTGACTTGTAATTCTGTGTTTATTTATCCTACAGGCAGTAACTACAGTGAAAAGTGTGACTTGTAATTCTGTGTTTATTTATCCTACAGGCAGTAACTACAGTGAAAAGTGTGACTTGTAATTCTGTGTTTATTTATCCTACAGGCAGTAACTACAGTGAAAAGTGTGACTTGTAATTCTGTGTTTATTTATCCTACAGGCAGTAACTACAGTGAAAAGTGTGACTTGTAATTCTGTGTTTATTTATCCTACAGGCAGTAACTACAGTGAAAAGTGTGACTTGTAATTCTGTGTTTATTTATCCTACAGGCAGTAACTACAGTGAAAAGTGTGATGTGTTTAGTTGGGGAATCATCCTATGGGAAGTGATCACAAGGAGGAAACCATTTGATGAGATTGGTGGCCCAGCATTTAGGATCATGTGGGCTGTACATAACGGTAGCACCATACAGCAATATTTATAATGTTTATTTCAGCTGATTGTTAATAAAAAAATATTTTTTTATGATATAGCTAGTTACAATGCAAAAATGAATCCAACTCTTAATGGACAGCTTTATTTAAAAGTCAAAGCGGCTCATTCATTTGTCTATTTCACTATCAAAATATTCTCTATTATTGCTCAGTTGTCAAGCAAAGAAAATTTGATGGAGAACATTTTTTGCATTTGTTTTTACAATTTTTGCTATAAAGAAAAAACAACCAGTTTTATCTGTAAAAGCAAGAAAAGGAATTTCTCAATTGTGTATTAAAGTATAATGTGTGAATATATTTTATAATTCCACACATTGACCCCATTACAAAAATGTACATTTAACGGTTCTATCTGTTGGCGTGTAGGTACACGGCCACCTCTGGTGCGTAACTTGCCCAGACCTCTAGAGCTGCTCATGACACGGTAAGATTTCTGGTAACGAATGTAAATTTATAAGCTTAGGGCAACTTTATATTAGTTTTTGCATGAATATCAACAGACGTATTAAGTTATTTAATCTATCCACCTTCATTGGCTTATTCTATTCAAAATTTGTCATACTTGTTATCTTACCATCGCCAACCCAGCCACTTTGCTTGGAACAGTGTAGATGGATTATTTCAGTTCCACTCCATAGATATATATAGGAGCTTACATGAGTTTCCATTTCATGTAAAATGAAAACGAGTGTCAGATCCTTTTTATCAAATAATCAAGATTTGTGGCATTAATCGTGTAAAATGACAATTCTCATGCAACCTTAAAATGTAAAAAGCCGCCATTTTGACTCCAGTGCGTAAGTCTGTGACGTCATGTACTTGTCCTAGGCGTGATGTCACAATTAAGACAATTGCAACTTACAACCAATCACACGGCTGATAGGTCATATTACATGGGTTAATACGCAAAAAATATGACATGGGTATATTCACTGGATAACACAGTACATTATGTGATATATATTGTTTATTTCCTTATTGTCCGTCTGTTTTTGTTTGGCCTGATAACCATGCTATTCATTGTGAAATGTGTTCTACCAAGGCTGTTGTGGCGGCAGATTTTTTTAATTTTTGCAGCTGTACTGTAGAATGTCAAACCCCTACAAAATATTTGTCAATGTGAAAACAATGATTGAATTACCTGTAAGAAAGTTACTCACTGTAGTACAAAGGTGGTCCAAGGGCATCACTGTCAAGATTTGGTCCAGCAAAATGAATTGCAATAAAGTACAATGCTAACCTATGTTTTAAACCAGTGTGGGTTTTTTTCATTGATTTTGGATTGGGTCTTTTTGTCTCATTTTTCAGAGGAAAATGTACCAATTGGCAAAACAAAATTCAGGAGTAAGCTACAAATTTTGGGAATTCGGCATAAATATGAGATAGTTTCAATTTGGGATGGAGCCCATTACCGACCCCAAGAAGTTCCCAGAAAAAAACACTGTAAACCAAGCTGCTGCCTGAAATCTTTCACCTATATTATATCATAACGAAACTCATTTTCTCCTTAAATAGACATCATGTTTCACCAAAAGCTATATATGCACATCTTTGAAACTTTCTGTGTTAATAATGTGATTTTAGATGCTGGTCTGGAAACCCTGCAGAACGCCCCTCCATGGCAGAAGTCACTAGGATCATGTCTCACTTATTTCAGGTATACAAAGCTTCCCCTGAATATAGTATATATTCTGTGCCATAATTGTTTTCCGACCTAAAGCCTTGTGTATTGTTTAAACTTTGTTGTGTTGATGGGCAATGAGTACTGATGTACTGCCCTGTATGACCTCATTTTTGTGGATGGACCTTTAAGACTACCGTATCGTATGGTCCTGTATGACCTTATTGTGTTGTTGATGGGCTGTTAAGACTACTGTGTGGCCCTGTATGACCTAATTACGTCGATGAGCTGTTAAGACTACTGTATGCCCTTATTTTGTTAATGAGCTGTTAAGACTACTGTGTGACCCTTTATGACCTTATTTTGTTGATGGGCTATTAAGACTACTGTGTGACCCTGTATGACCTTATTTTGTTGATGGGCTATTAAGACTACTTTGTGACCCTATATGACCTTATTTTGTTAATGGGCTTGGCTTGTTAAGACTACTGTGTGACCCTATATAACCTTATTTTGTTGATGAGCTATTAAGACTACTGTGTGACCCTTTATGACCTTATTTTGTTGATGGGCCGTTAAGACTACTGTGTGTCCCTAGCTATATAACCTTATTTTCTTGATGGGCTTGTTAATGACCTTTTTGTGTTGATGGACCTTTAAAATTTATTAAAAGATTTTTTTTTCTTTCTTTGTGCAACAGTTTTTTGATGGTGCTGAAAAGCCCTTAGTATACCCCCATTATGATGACGAAGATGCAGTTGGTTCGCCTGAGTTTTGTAAGTGTCAACAAAATTTTGCATCAGTTTCCATAACTTTATTTGTGTAAGTGGATCTGTTGTATTCAGCATTAGCAACAAAAGTCTTATTCAGATTTAAGTTTGTTCTGTATACTGAAATAAATGTTTACTGAATTAATTGGTCATGTGTGATTTATTATCGGGGGCTTGATGTATTTTGGAGGAGAAAGAGCATTCTGTTAGCATGCATTTTTTGTAATATTTCAAACATTTGGTCAAGTGTGAGAATACCGTGAATGAGATTTTGTTTAATGATGTTAGTCAAAGTCACAATGACCACCTACTATTCATATAAAGTCTTTGTCAAGCTTATAGTGAGTTTCTGGGGATTTAGAAATATGCTGAAATAAATGGGTTGATTTTTGAAGAGTGAAGTTGCTCAACTGTTGATAAGATATATAATGTATGTGCTGTGTAACAGACTGTTGATAAGATATATAATGTATGTGCTGTGTAACAGACTGTTGATAAGATATATAATGTATGTGCTGTGTAACAGACTGTTGATAAGATATATAATGTATGTGCTGTGTAACAGACTGTTGATAAGATATATAATGTATGTGCTGTGTAACAGACTGTTGATAAGATATATAATGTATGTGCTGTGTAACAGACTGTTGATAAGATATATAATGTATGTGCTGTGTAACAGACTGTTGATAAGATATATAATGTATGTGCTGTGTAACAGACTGTTGATAAGATATATAATGTATGTGCTGTGTAACAGACTGTTGATAAGATATATAATGTATGTGCTGTGTAACAGACTGTTGATAAGATATATAATGTATGTGCTGTGTAACAGACTGTTGATAAGATATATAATGTATGTGCTGTGTAACAGACTGTTGATAAGATATATAATGTATGTGCTGTGTAACAGACTGTTGATAAGATATATAATGTATGTGCTGTGTAACAGACTGTTGATAAGATATATAATGTATGTGCTGTGTAACAGACTGTTGATAAGATATATAATGTATGTGCTGTGTAACAGACTGTTGATAAGATATATAATGTATGTGCTGTGTAACAGACTGTTGATAAGATATATAATGTATGTGCTGTGTAACAGACTGTTGATAAGATATATAATGTATGTGCTGTGTAACAGACTGTTGATAAGATATATAATGTATGTGCTGTGTAACAGATTGTTGCAAACACATGGGGATTTATGTTGTTTGTGATGCCTGGTTTAAATTATCTTCATTACAATTCTGATATGATTTTTTTTAACAAAACAGGATCTATTGTATGAATAATGCTACATGTATTAAAAAAAAATCTGAAATTTATTGAATTGAAATATTTGGGTTTGTTTTAAAGAGAAACCAAGTCAGTTATATAAAACAAAAAGAAATTAAAAACTTTTTTTTTTTTATTACAGCCTTCAACACACCAGCATCTATATTCTACAATACACCACCAAATGACGCCATAACGTCCTTCAGCCCACAGACTGCTGAGTCGAGGTCTGGAACACTGATCAGTGACACGGTCCGTCATCAGCTGGACAGAAGCGAGGCTGATGACCAGCCACAGATGTCTCCTCCCCCATTACCACCTCGAGCCAACCCTCCACAGGTATCAAGATATTTTCATCCGAAGTTAAACCTTTCACCCCTATGTAACTTTAGTAAACTTAACCATGTATTAATCTGGACAAGTCCATTATGGTCTAGATCTACAGTGGTGAAAGAGTTAATTGAAATTAAGACAGACTAAAGCAATATTAACAGGAAGTCTACAAATTGGAAATTTGACAATTTCCATAATACATTTCCAAGTGATGTGTATTCATTGTATCTTTCATTCAAAATCTGGTATGTTGTCACAATGGTCGGATAAATACTGCATAACTGTACTGTTTGCCGTTAAGTTACATAGAAAGGTCACTCATTTTCACATGATGATCATGATCTAAGGCTTTTGAGATTTGCTATAGTGGCCTGCTGTCATTTTGCAACAAAATTGATACAAAGGTTTGCATGAATAGCTCAATAAAGCGATTTGTCTTTGTAAAAAGCTTTTAGATTCATTTAAAAGAATACACAAGATAGGGTACTCAACTTATAAGATGAAAATGTTGGGTTATATGTATTATTTATGATGGATATTCTTACCACCAGGGAGAGCAGACACGACAGATGAGTGCTCCACCCTCATTGGCAGCCAGTCGGGAGAGCTTGTTTGAAGGTCATGTACGTAGCCCAAGGTCAGGAACACCTGTTGATCCACACCTGAAGCGATACTCCGCAGACATGAGCAGATTTGATGGCGACATCATGACGCAGGGGAGCAGTGGAAGTGGAAGTAGTAGCGAGTCGCACAAAGGTCAGTGGGTGTCCAGAGCTGTAGTAGCGAGTCACACAAAGGTCAGTGGGTGTACAGAGCTGTAGTAGCGAGTCACGCAAAGGTCAGTGGGTGTACAGAGCTGTAGTAGCGAGTCACACAAAGGTCAGTGGGTGCACAGAGTTGTAGTAGCGAGTCACACAAAGGTCAGTCAGTGTACAGAGTTGTAGTAGTGAGTTGCACAAAGGTCAGTGGGTGTACAGAGTTGTAGTAGCGAGTCACACAAAGGTCATTGGGTGTACAGAGTTGTAGCGAGTCGCACAAAGATCAGTGGGTGTACAGAGTTAGTGAGTCACACAAAGGTCAGTGGGTGTACTGAGTTGTAGTAGCGAGTCACACAAAGGTCAGTGGGTGTACTGAGTTGTAGTAGCGAGTCACACAAAGGTCAGTGGGTGAACTGAATTGTAGTAGCAAGTCGCACAAAGGTCAGTGGGTGTACAGAGTTGAAGTAGTGAGTCACACAAAGGTCAGTGGGTATACTGAATTGTAGTAGCAAGTCGCACAAAGGTCAGTGGGTGTACAGATTTGTAGTAGCGAGTCACACAAAGGTCAGTGGGTGGCCTGAATTGTAGTAGCTTGTCACACAAAGGTCAGGGGGTGTACTGAATTGTAGTAGCAAGTCGCACAAAGGACTGTGGGTGTATAGAGTTGTAGTAGTGAGTCGCACAAAGGTCAGTGGGTGTACAGAGCTGTAGTAGCAAGTCACACAAAGGTCAGTGGGTGTATAGAGTTGTAGTAGTGAGACGCACAAAGGTCAGTGGGAGTACAGAGTTGTAGTAGCGAGTCACACAAAGGTCAGTGGGTGTACTGAATTGTAGTAGCTTGTCACACAAAGGTCAGTGGGTGTACTGAATTGTAGTAGCAAGTCGCACACAGGTCAGTGGGTGTACTGATTTGTAGTAGCGAGTCGCACAAAGGCCAGTGGGTGCACAGAGCTGTAGTAGCGATTCACACAAAGGACAGTGGGTGTACAGAGTTGTAGTAGCGAGTCACACAAAGGTCAGTTGGTGTACTGAGTTGTAGTAGCAAGTCGCACAAAGGTCAGTGGGTGTACAGAATTGTAGTAGTGAGTCACACAAAGGTCAGTGGGTGTTTTGAGTTGTAGTAGCAAGTCGCACAAAGGTCAGTGGGTGTACTGAGTTGTAGTAGCAAGGCGCACAAAGGTCAGTGGGTGTACAGAATTGTAGTAGTGAGTCACACAAAGTTCAGTGGGTGTTTTGAGTTGTAGTAGCAAGTCGCACAAAGGTCAGTGGGTGTACAGAGTTAGTGAGTCACACAAAGGTCAGTGGGTGTACTTAGTTGTAGTTGCAAGTTGCACAGTAGTCAGTTTAGTTGTGTGCTACACACATCACTAAGTGCATAGAGTTATCGATCGTGTTGCACTAATGTTTAGTCTGAACTATATGATAAACATTTTTGATGTATTGATAGAATTATTTAATCATATCTTTTCAAGCTTGGCACCACACAGTATTAGAAAACGCTGCTTTTTTCTTCCACAAATCCTTATACTTAAATAACAGAACGTTAACTACAGTAATTGCAGAACTTTAAGTAACATCATATATTCAATACTTGAAACAAATTGAGTTCAGATAAAGTAATTTAGTGGATGTGCTATTGGGGAAGTACCCTGGGTAAATTTTGAAGCCTTGAAATTTTCTGGATTAAGTGAGAGTTTTATAAGACTAAATATCAAATGTTATAGTAAAATTTCTCTGACTTTAGAACGAGTCCTTTTTAACTGATACGATGAAGTGGTCTCTAGCATCAGTTTGTAGTAATCTTGACTTTGCCCTGCTTACAGTACCTTTCTACTTTCTAGTTATCTGGTTGGGTGGTTTAAGAGAAGCGTTTAGGTTGTTGTGCTGTTGGTCTTCCTGCTTTGTTCTGGCATGATTTATGATCATTGGTGCATGAACTAGATTTCTACCTCATTTGACTTTATGAGACTCGCTTTGATTTGATTGACAGTCAGTAAACACTTATGTTACATAGTTATCTCCCTTGTTTACACTAGGTGGATTGTAAATTCAGTGTATTTGTGTTGATATTATAATCCAGAGCTTTCAAAGCATAACCAAAAATCATTACATTCGTCAGATAGCGAGGGGTTTCAGAGATCAATCTAAGTTTTACTGGAATATTCTTATTTAAGAGTAAATGTAAAAGGGGGAAAATGAATGCTAACAAGTTTGAGAAGGATTAGCCCATCACCCCTCAAGAAGGAACAATATATCTTATTTCTTCATTTATTATGTAACATTTAACCATTGTAAAATCAATAATTAATTCTTCAAAGTGATGTTATAAAAATATTGCTTGAAAAATTAATGGCTAATTAAGTACAGAACTTGAAAAAGAACCTAATGTCAGGCGAAATGAGAAGTTAACCCTTGATGGGAAAATTATAGATTAACTTGTGGAGGGTAAAACTACCATAGATTAACTTGTGGAGGGTAAAACTACCATAGATTAACTTGTGGAGGGTAAAACAATCCATAGATTGACTTGTGGAGGGTAAAACTACCATAGATTAACTTGTGGAGGGTAAAACTACCATAGATTAACTTGTGGAGGGTAAAACTACCATAGATTGACTTGTGGAGGGTAAAACTACCATAGATTAATTTGTGGAGGGTAAAACTACCAAAGATTAACTTGTGGAGGGTAAAACTACCATAGATTAACCTGTTGAGGGTAAAACTACCATAGATTAACTTTTGGAGGGTAAAACTACCATAGATTAACCTGTTGAGGGTAAAACTACCATAGATTTACTTGTAGAGGGTAAAACTACCATAGATTAATTTGTGGATATTTTGTAGTGCATTATGCTAGTATGCATGATGTTTGTTGCTGGTATAGTGTTTGTATGTACAGTGTTTGCTCAAAAGTCTGAATTATATAGTGGGGCCCTAGTCATACAGTATTACTTTTGTGTTAATTTTGTGTTGAAAAATTGTCGACATTAATTTATTCGTCTTAACAAGAAAATGACACATGGGGCACTTTACTTTAAATTACTTAAGTTTCATGTAATACATGTTTGTATTCTCTTGTATGAAGAATTGATCAAAGTAAAATTGATCATATAAGTGTGATTAACAAGTTTTTCTTGCACCATAGAAATCTAATCAAAACCAAGTGCTGGATTTTTTCTATCTCATTCACTGTGTTGGACACCCTTGACATCACAGTTAAATAAAGATTATGTTCTATTATGATGTGGGGCTTTATCAACATGGCTTGAAAAGGAATAACAAAATACTATAGTGTATTATCAGTTTTCCATGTTGAGAGATAAAAAAAAATATAATTGTTCATTGTTGCAAAAAATAAATATTCGTGAAATTTAAAAGTTTGAAAGTGTGAAATTCAAATTGCTAATCCATGCATTTGAAGAAAAAATCTGTTGACAACAGTGTGATTTATGTTAATTGGAAAAGTATACTCTATAATGAATTAATATTACATGTGTTCCTCAGTGTTTTAGGGTAATATACTAAGATCATGGATCATTAATCTAAAACAGCCTGATCTAATTGTATCAAGTTTCATTTATCTAATTTCTTGAAAACCATTTGCAGAAATGTGAATATTTTGTTGAATAGTGTTTGAGGATTGTGATTTTGAATTCAGAGTCGACAGATAAACTGACTCCAGTCAGATTTTCTGTTATCAATTAAATTAATCCATTTCATATTTGGAAATATGTATGATATATCCGAATTAAGAAAAGATAATGTGAAGCCTTTGAGTGTAGTAATATTAGTTCACTCAAATGTCTGTGCGTTAGTGACAGAACATATAGCTATATGTGACATGCAAGAGAACTAAATTTTGTATTTTTTGGTCATTCTAATTTAGTGCTTTTAAACTAGCACACAAAGCCCTTAATTGTGGTTACTCCTGAAATAATACAGTATGTGCAAGTTTAATGACACTATGATGTAGCACAGAGGATTTTTTTTTACAGTTTTCTTGTTTAAACTGAATTGATTGCTTCATGATAACTACATACCATTTGATTGATTGATATTTATTTTTAAAAATGTTTCTGGTTAAACCTCACTCCATTGAAGCTTGATACAGTTGGATCAAGTTGATTGTCAAACTTGAACAGATTTTTAATTGGGTAATCACCTCATATATTTATAGCTAATGAAAAGCTCTTCACCTATATACATGTATTCCCATCAACAAGTATTTAGTCAAGTGCTCTTGTGTTTTGATAAACAAAAGGTGACTCGTTTGGTATCATAAAATATAGGATTCAGCATTATTAATGTGATTTTTTTTATTTTTTTATTAAATATTGATCAAACAAAGCTCTGAACTTGTCGCAATTCATAAGAATCTCTAGCCAAAGGACCAAGTGAGTTTATACCATGGTGTATGTAGCCTCTGTCGTTTATCCTGTGTAAACTTTGTGTATGAAATCAGAATAGGGGGAAATATTTTATCAATATTCCTTAAGGTTGAAGATAATTTGACTTAATTTGTAATTGACTATCCCAAGGTCAAGGGAATTCATTGTTATATAAATAAAGCCTCCATAGGGGTACAGTAGGGGAAATGAGGGGGGGGGGGGTAAAAACAACAGCTCTTGAAGTTCGGGAAATTATTTGAAATCATTTAGCACTGAGTATCCCATGAAGGAGATTCTGTATTGTATAAATAGTGGGTTGGGGTCTCCTTGGGAGAAAGGGGAAGGGCCCAATAGCTGAATTTGGGGGGAAAATGGTTTTTTTTAATTGTTTACCAAATTGATCCTAATAATCATCTTATTATATATATAATTACCAGGTGCTTTTTTCCAGGCTGATTTGAAATTAAAGATGCATATGACTGTCTTGACCTCTGATTGGCTGAGGCATTTTCAAATTCCTCTCAATTTCCAGCAGGGCAATGGTAGCCAAACTTGATTGGAATAATGCTCTCATGGTCTTGAACAGTAGCTGCTAATTCTGGGGTTGAATTGAAATTTACAATGGCACTGTCACCCTTCCCACTTACCGTAATTCTTCAGACATTTTAAATTCATTCTCAATTCCACCAAAATAATTTTAACGAAAAAGTCATACAAATCTTTTTGTTATTGCCCTTTGTTACTTTAATTCTGTGTATAATTAAGAAATCTGAGAAATAGACTTCATGGTCTCTAGATAGCAGAAACAATTCTATGTCCTGTTAAGTTCTGATTTAAAAGAAACAGGTGAGCACTACAGGCCTGATGGACCTCTTGTTATTAAAAGAAATATCAATATTTGAATATAATATCAGATTTGTTACATATTAACTATGATACAAACGGTTTACCTTTTGTTTATACCTACCATACTAACTTTTCTTTGTTTCTGGCAGGACCATCAGAGTTTTCTGGTTCAAATGAAAATTTCAAATTATTGACTATCCTTTGCTGTTTGAAATTTCAAACTTAACAGCATTTATTTATATCAATGTAATAGTAACTGATTTCTATCTTTTTAAGTTTTAAGTTACCTATGAATTTTGATGGAATTTTGCAATTTAATTGCATTTAAATTTTGATACATTGATTTTTATCATAATTCAACATTTGATAATAGGACACTTTGAATTATTTTAATAATACATGTATTTAAAAAACTCTAAATATTTTTTATTGCCGAAGTACATCAACTCGAACAAATAACATAAATATGAATTATTTTTCTGTAAATTACCTTTGGAGCAGAAAGCTTTGTGACAGTACTGCCATGTTTGTGCTGTTGTTATATACATGTCTACTCATTAGGGCACCGTAGGGCAGGTTCATACGGTACGCCAACAATGTTCTCCTCCGCCGGACTCCCCATACAATCTGTGTCGCAAGGTGAGCGCTTTCTTCTCCCGTTATCAATGCCAGACTATCAAATAGCTACAATGTCATCATTCTATGTCTGTATATACCAGACTTTCAAACAGTGTATGCACTCTCCTCGATCAATATACATATAAACACTTTGTTTGTTTTGTCAATTGTGATGTAATCATTAATGATGACTAATTCTATATGTTTACTTATGTATTCATTCATGTAACAGTATAGTGTTTGCTACATTAATAAAATGCACAAAATTATATATTTTAACAATTCATAGGAATAGCTTACCCAGTATCTTACAGGTCAGCACATTGACTTCTGATTAGTGCTATTCTATCATACAGGCAGTAACTAGTTAATTGAATATACAGTATTCAAAGAAAACATTAGTAAGCCTATAGAGATGACGATTCATTCAGTTATGTTAAGAAGAAAAAAAATATCGTACACAACATTCACATTTTATTAATATATTTCATGAAGAGATTGATATTGCAGCATGTATTCCATTTCAAAAATTTAGAGTATTAAAAACATAAGTTCCTGTTTTTGATAAATAGGAACATATTCATGCACTACAATTATTAATATTATAGTACATTGTATGTTTATATATATTCTAACTGTGTTTTTCACTGCACTTACCAGTAATAACTGCAAGTGGTACAAGAGATTTAATATAGTACCCACTAACAGCTTCAAATAAGTAAGAGAATTCTAAGCCACTAGCTAGAGTCTGCTATAAGGGCATTATACCGGTACATATACTTATTATCATTAGCTCGTCTTTGAAAAGGTAGAAAATAACCCCTCACTAGGCACCTGTCAGGGCCAGGATATTGGACTGTGATGAAATTGTGTTTATTTACAGGAAGGGGCCACAGAAGGGGTGGATCTGATGAAGTGTCACAAATACGATACAATCATAGAAGTTCACCTGTGTTTGTCAATACTACACCTAACCTAGCCCACACGGGGCCTCTCTCAGTGAGCCCTGTCCACCATGTGAGCACCTACCCTGGCACCCTCAGTCAGGCCAACCAGGAAACAACCCCGCCCCCTATTAGGTCTTTCTCATACCAGCCACCGCAAACCACAGAACGGGTTCAACCCCATAGCGTTCGTGCGACATCGTGGACGTCGGAAATGTCAGTTCCACCGGTAACCATAGTTCCTGGAGGAAACCAGTCATCTGATCCCCAACCACGACCTATCAATCATATTGTAGGTGTGTAATCAGACATAAAGGAGGGAAGATCTCCTGTCTTTTTCTATATATCTATGATTGGAGTTATATCGTCACTTAATCTGAACTGTTAAATGGATATTGAGACTTAATCTGAACTGTTAAATGGATATTGACGGAGGACCTACTTTCGTTTTACATATATTTTTGATAAGGGATGTTTCTTAACTTATCTGAAATTTAAAGTCAACATAACATCTATAAAGAACAAGGTCCATTTAGGTATATTTTATTACTGATTCTGCAGTAGTTTTGAAGAAGAAATATTTTTGAGCTGATTATCAAAGTGATGGCCTCTTTTTAATATTACAAGTAAAACCATATGAGATATCTGTTAAAAGGAATCATTTAGAAACGTTGGATGCTAATGTTTTTGCATGTTACATGTATGTATTAATATTAATCAGAACTTCTGGTAACATTTCTTGCATTTATTTCATTTAAAAATTCAGTTGCAGCTTTGGGGCAGTACTCACTTTCAGTTTCTGGTATAAAGCTAGCTTTTTTTGGCTGGGATCAAACATTGATTAAAACGATTAAATTACCTTGTTTTCAGGATTTGTTACCTGTTACTATGGTTATAATTGTATGACAGTTTTGTTTTTGTTCTCTTCGTTCATATTTAGACAAAAGCAGTAACTATACTACATGATATGAAGTCATTTTTCTTAAGCATTCCAAAAGGTCGGCTGTCATATAAAATTACAAGTTTCCCCCCAAATAAAGGTTTTCATATGTTACTGGACATTTGGCTAATGTGCAGTCGTGTACTGAAAATAACAAAGCACATCATTTTCTTCATTTTTAAAGACAAATTGATTTAATTGTACAGTTTGTGCATGTAGCATGTACGCATCTGTCCCTTGTTTTGAGTCTTCACTGTTCTAGTGTTGGCATGGTGTGTTGCTGTCATTGTTTCTCTTATTGAATACGAGAAAAATTGTTTCCTCAAACATGTTCAGGTTTTGATAAAGTGAAATGTTCATTTTGTTTGTATTGTCAGTTTGTTTTATAAGATGATGTTTTACTAAGGCCAAAGGTAACAGAAATATGTTTCCTGTACCACGCTTATCTTACAAAGTCCTGTCAACCCCAAGAACCTTCTTTTCTTATACATAGAATTCTGTTTATGGGTTGGGTCCCTAGAGGAGCTGAGTACAACATTCAGCCATTTCTATCTCTCATATGATGCATATGTCTGTCAGAATACTAGATATCACAGGGATGTCTCTTGGCCATATTGAAAATTACATTTATTGAAATCAGAATATATATATTTTTTGTTAATCAAATTATTAATCTCTGCCTGTAGGAGTTAAAGTATCAAATCAACTTTACTAAAATCTATATCCACTGACCCACTTTTAGCTCACCTGCCCGAAGGGCAAGTGAGCTTATGTCATGGTGCGGCGTTCGTCGTCCGTCCTCGTCTGTCAACTTTTCCTTTCAACAACTTCTTCTGAAGAACGGACAGGCCTAGAGTCATGATATTTGGCTGAAAGCTTTGTTGGTAGGAGCCCTACAAAGTTTGAGAACGAAAATGACCTTGACCTACTTTAAAGGTCACGGGTCAAATATGTCAAAAACTTCAAACGACTTCTTCTAAAGAACTAAAAGGTATAGAATCTTCATATTTGGCTGATGGCTTCCTGGGATGGAGCTTAACAAAGTTTGAGAATGAAAATGACTTTGACCTACTTTCAAGGTCACAGGGGTCAAATGTGTCAAACACTTCAAACAACTTCTTCTGAAGAACT